GTTCAAATATTTTTAAGATGACCACTGAATTTTGAAATGGCTATGTGTGTGTACAAAGGGGAATAAACATGGGACTACGAAACATGAGGGGAGAAAGAATAACATGAATCAACTTATATTACAATTATTGAGTGCAAGATTAGTCATCATTAGCATTTTGCAAAGTACCGCATTATCTGTTTCTTATTAGCCATTGAAATGCAAATGTAGTATTATAAACATAAGAATATTGGTGATCATTTTCTCTTTATTGTCATCTGTAACTTTCTAAGAAATTGGCTTCAAATCTTAGAAGGTAAATCATGAAAAGTTCTTTTTCTTATTTTTTAAGCATTTCCCAAACTGTGTTAGCCTAGGCACTAAAAATATTGCAGGATCTTAAAGAAAATGTAAGCATTCTCCTCCTTATGCAAGTAGCTAAAAATGTATCCAAAAGCGTAATTAATATAGAGTATAAGTCCATAATTACTATAATTGTGATTTATCAGAATGATAGTTATTAGGTTAAATGCCAACTAATTATTTAAAAAATGTGTTTTCCTCCCAAAATATATGTTTCACTCAGTGATGAGGAACTGTTCTATCTAGAAAAATACAAATTGTCTCTTTCGTATCCTACACTGTGTTTTAATAGTGGGGAGGTTTACCTTGTCTCTGCTTCTGGGAATAAGTTTCAGAATGACCTTTTTAGGGATAGGATATCTGGATACATGATTTTCTTATGGTTGTAATAACTTGGAAAAAGAAAAAACAAACAAACAAACAAGGAACTCAGTTCTGGCCTGTGTGGTCTAATAATTAAAGCTCAGAATAAGAATCTGGGAATTAGACTAAACATCAGAATTGGTGGTTTGGGGGAATTTAACCTTTAGAAAAACTTTGACTTCTTTCTGGTTCTGTACCCTCTTCTGCTGAAGACAATCTTACTGCTGAAAACCCCTTGAAGAGACTTTTTTATTTAATTAAGAAGATAAAGGGAAATATGCTTTCTTTGTACCACCTGATTCTATATGTCACCAATTCTATATGTCACTTTTTTTTTTTTTTTGAAGATTTTATGTATTTATTTGAGAGAGAGAGAAAGCATGAGAAGGGGGAGGGTCAGAGGGAGAAGCAGACTCCCTGCCCAGCAGGGAGCCCAATGTAGAACTGGATCCTGGCAGGATCATGACCTGAGCTGAAGGCAGTTGCTTAACTAACTGAGCCACCCAGGTGCCCAGTCACCCATTTTTTTTTTTTTAAAGATTTTATTTATTTGACAGAGAGAAATCACAAGTAGGCAGAGAGGCAGGCAGAGAGAGAGGAGGAAGCAGGCTCCCCGCGGAGCAGAGAGCCCGATGCGGGGCTCGATCCCAGGACCCTGAGATCATGACCCGAGCCGAAGGCAGAGGCTTTAACCCACTGAGCCACCCAGGCGCCCCTCCATTTTTTTTTTAAACCCAAGTTTTCCTTGGGATAATTACTATGGCAATATAATATTTCTAATAATTTATGAACATTACACATTAGTTCTTGGAGTAGGAAGAGAGGGTAAACATGGGCATTCTTTAAATTTCTAAAGTGTAAACATTACAGCCACAGCTTTAATTAATGATTTCTGTTGCTGCTACTGTTGAGACAGATGCTCATTTAGGGATGTTATTTCTACTGTCTTCAGCCCCCAGCAAATGCTAGGGCTTGGGAGTTGTTGTTTTTGCAAGTGGAGTGAGTAGGCAAACCACCAACACTTACAAGCAATATGGTCTTTGTTAAAAATTAATGAAGTAATAATTGTTCTTTCCAGCCTTTTATGTGCAAAGCATGATAGTGCTGTTTGCATTATCTTCTTGCAATGTATACCTCTGCATTCAAGGACTTGTGATAGCTTGCCAAATCAATATTGAGAGGAAAAATGTTAAACAACAATGAGACCTCCATAATTTAAATCGCATTTTATATCAAATTTTGAAAATCTGTGTATGGTTATCACCTCCATTTGATGTCTAGTAAAATAATGTTCATAGCAGGAATATTTACAACCAATTCATCAGTTGAAATACAAACTCATATCTATTCTGATTTTTTAAAAAAGACAAAAAAAAACCCCCAAAAAAACCTTGACCTAAAAAATTTTAAGTCAGTTGGTTTATTTTTAAATAATAATATCCATGATCTAATTTTCTGTAAAATGTCCATGTAAAGCATTTATTTTCTGGAGTTTTACTAGTTCTGTCATAGTTCTTTACAATGTTACTATACAACTAGTGGAATAATAATAATAAAAAGATTCCATGTAATACTGACTTTTTAACATCAGAATTTTTTGAAGTTCCAACTTCTGTTCACTCTTTATGATTTTATGATATTAAACATATATATAAATTTTACTTTGTGACTTTACTATTAAAGGCAACTCGGTGTAAAATCATCAGAATTGAGAATCTACATACACTTTTTTTCTTACAAGCGCCCCATATAATACATTCAAAGAGTGGATGTTTGAAAGTAGTATATTAGTGGTTATTAAAAGTACAGGGTGGGCATTTTCTTTTCTTAAGATATATTTTGTATATCATGTCTAGGGTTTTCTAAAACAGTCTAAATTTATTATTTTTTTGGACTTTTGGTGTGACAGTTAAGTCAAGCCAATTTTTCTTCCAGAAAATGGGTGCCTTTCTTATATTCTAGATCCTGAATGACCAAGGTTATTAACATAATCAGTACTTTTTACTGTTTGCTTTTGTATTGTTTTTATGTTAGTAGAAAAGCAAGGGAGAAGAAGTTTTTGAAAACTGTGTTTATCACATTGGTGGGTTCTACAAATTGGATTTGATAATTCAAACATCCTAATATTAATAATTTATTTTTTTCTAATGTGGTTCAAAGGCCAAATAAATGTTATAGTTCTTCCTTGTGGTTGCCATCAATTCAATAAATTAATATTTCATTTAATGTTGTGAATTGAAGCTATGGATTGGGATTCCTATGTGTTTTTACTATACATAAATAGAAAAATATTCATGTATTTTAAATGCCATTGATTTAGTTAAGGATCGAAAACTTGTCATTCCTGCTGAAAATAATTAACTCTCTTAATGGAGAAAAGAATTCAGAACTCATTTCTAATGGGTTTAACAATGATTTTAGTTATATATTTATTTACATAATTAAAATATCTTCTGTTTTAAGAGGTTTATATTTGCACTCCCTTGAATGAGTCCTACATATATTATGAGAAAAAATAATTTTTATACATCTCTCAAAAGATGAAATTGTATGCTGCATACTATGGAGGCTATGAAGAGGTCCAAAATGTAGCAAATGCATATGGAACAAAATTAAACTAATCTTAGCATTCATCATGGATTAAATTTATGAATGCATAAGGCATTTAATAAAGGTTGTATAGTACATCTACGAGGGGAGAAAAAAGAGAGGGAAACAAACTATAAGAGACTCTTAAAGATAGAGAATAAACTGAGGGTTGATGGGGGAGTTGGTTTGGGGGGTGGACTAGATTGGTCATGGGGAGTAAAGAGGGCACTCGTGATGAGCACTGGTTGTTGTACATAAATGAATCACTGAATTCTTCTCCTGAAACCAATGTTGCACTGTATGTTAACTAACTAGAATTTAAATAAAAATTGGGAAAAAAGAAAAAATAAAGATTATATACTACAGAAAGCTTCTTAAGAATGGTAAGGGTATGGACAGCTTCAAGGAGTAAAGAGTATGGTCGAGTTGGTGTTATACCATAAACAAAAGAAGATCTAATATGGCTTTTGACAACAGTAGAAAAGTTCACCCTCCAAGAACGTAGTATGTGAAACATGTAATTCACTAATCTCCATTCAAACTTTTAGAAAAACATAAATGGATTTTGGAATTAGTTTTTGGAAGAATGCCAATACCAAACTAAAGAGTTTGAAGTTATTTGTGTAGACAATGGGCAGCCCTAGAAGGTTTTGAATTCAAATATAACATGACAAAAGAGAGATTTTCCTGGCAGCACAAGGCAAAATTTGGCATGGCAAAAAAAGTGTAGACACAGGTATAACAGAAACAGCTGGTCTAATAGTTGCTGAATCATAAATAGGACCACAAACCACGTGATGTCAGCTTAAAAGCTTCCCAAACCTATTCAGGATCACAGAAAGCAGTGCTTCACTGAAAGACTTCCTGAAAAGTCTTGAAACTTTTTAAGTGTTTTTTGCATTGAAAAAAATGTTAGGATAACCTTAGCTACTGTAATAACAAAACCCCAAATAGCCACTTATTTCTTGTTTGTGTAAAATTCAATGTGAGTAAAAGATATTAAGAACTGAAATGTTCATTGCATTTACATCTTTTGTTTTCTGCGTATAACTATTAGATTTTGTTTTGTTAGCAGGGGAGGTGTGTTTGTATTTTTAGTTCAAATTCTCTTTTGCGGTATACCAACATGTATTCCTTGAAATGACTGAGAGTGTTAAAAAATGTCATGTTTGGAGATATGTGGTAAGGACATCATTTAGATTTACCTCATTTTGCCAGATACTGATTTTACTAAATTCTAGACCAAATTGGGAAAAGATGAATAAAAATTTATTTTAGGCAGCAGCATTTTTCATTCTCTTTTAAAATAGATAAAACAAAACCATTCGTACAACAGAACCATTTCATAGTGTTATTTAAGATAACCAATTTGAGGTTTTGATGTTGGAATATTTGTCTAGGTATAATCAATTGCTAAGCAACTTTTTTCCTGAATATCCCACAAACCACAATACAATTCAAATGTATTCATCAACATTATAAATTTCTTAGTGTCAACGAACTCAGAGAACCTTGCAAATAATAAACCTACATATAAGAATGTTACGGAATTGCTCCATGTCATGATCTTTAATGAGTAACACTGAACTTTATTAATTTTGTATATCCTGTGATTCCATTAACACCCTCATTTTGTGTTCATTATTATTCATTATGCTTCACTCATTAATTTGCTTCTCATTTTTTTTCCTCCTTTGATGCTTCAGTGGGAAGAGATCAGTGGTGTTGATGAACATTACACACCCATCAGGACTTACCAGGTGTGCAATGTCATGGATCATAGTCAAAATAATTGGCTGAGGACAAACTGGGTCCCTAGGAACTCAGCTCAGAAGATCTACGTAGAGCTCAAGTTCACTCTACGGGACTGCAATAGCATTCCACTGGTTTTGGGAACTTGCAAGGAGACTTTCAACTTGTACTACATGGAGTCTGATGATGATCATGGGGTCAAATTTCGAGAACATCAGTTTACAAAGATTGACACCATTGCAGCTGATGAAAGTTTCACCCAAATGGATCTTGGGGACCGTATTCTGAAACTCAACACTGAGGTTAGAGAAGTAGGTCCTGTCAACAAAAAGGGATTTTATCTGGCATTTCAAGATGTTGGTGCTTGTGTTGCCTTGGTGTCCGTGAGAGTGTACTTCAAAAAGTGCCCATTTACAGTGAAGAATCTGGCTATGTTTCCAGACACGGTACCCATGGATTCCCAATCCCTGGTGGAGGTTCGAGGATCTTGTGTTAACAATTCTAAGGAGGAAGATCCTCCCAGGATGTACTGCAGTACAGAGGGCGAATGGCTTGTACCCATTGGCAAGTGCTCCTGCAATGCTGGCTACGAAGAAAGAGGTTTTATGTGCCAAGGTAAGAGTCCTCTCTATTTTCCTTATAGTGGTGTTGCTCAACTGTGAGTTTATTATCACTGAGTAACTGAAAGAAATGAACCCAACCTGAACTCAATTGGCAGCAAAACATGCCTCAAACTGAACAGTCCATTTATAGACCAAATTTATCTCACTTGATGTGTTGATCCACAGTTCGTTGTAGAAATATTAGCAGCGTTTGACTGTGTGGTGCTGGCTTGTACCCCATGAGAGGTGTTACATATGCTATTTTTAAGTTTTGTCTTCTATTTAATGACTCGGGTATTATAATTCTAGATCAAGTGAAAGAAAAAAAATTCTGTCTCTTTTATGTAGAGGAAAGAAGCACTGGCACTCAGGTAATCTAATTCCAACAGAATTAGATGGACTATATGTTCTTCTATTTCACAGTGATATGTTCTTTATTTTTACAAAATACAGCATTCAGTGATGTCTGTATGTCAAATACCTGTTAACGTACAATGCATTAGTGCTTTAATAAGGATTATTTTATTTAAAAATCCAGGGTGTATACCTTAGTGTTTGATGTGTAAAGGGTTAATTTTTTTAAAAATTATTTTGTTTCATGGTTTGGCCCTTTAGGCTGCCGGGGAGAATATCTGTACCACATCTTAGGCTGCATGTATATTTGATACTTAGTATAGTAGCAAAGAATCTGAACAGTTACCAAGATGACTTTTATTAAAACTTTCTTTGCATTTGAAATAAAATTAATTAAAAATAATCTTTTTTTCATATAAGATTTGATATATCAGATGAAAACTTCCACTTAATCCCCAAATTTGTTAGTTTCTCATTAGGCAAGGTCTGTGTTTAAGAAAACACTGAAATAAAAAAAGAGAACACACTGAAATTATTATTAAAATTTTAGGTGTATAAATATATAGGAGAATTTAACTACTTAGTTTTGGGAATCTAGTCTGTTTTAATACCTATGTTTGCTGTTATACTCTGAAAAAGGAATTGAATTTGGTGTTCTCTTTTTAGCCATTCAGTAATCTCATACCATGCAGAAGAAATGAATATACTTTATACATTAATTAACCTTTCTAACAATGTAAATGGAACATAACATTTTGTTTTTGACTATAAACATAATCTATGGAAAAAGCTTAATGATAGCAAGGGCTACACTCTCATCTCACACTTCTCCATGTTATTTAGATCCTTGGCAAACGCCATCAGAAATATCATTATTAAGTATGGTTTTGAAAGTTCTAAAATTGAAACAACATGATAGATACTACTCTTTATATACATGAGTGGAGAGAAATCTCGGTGGCCTTTATAATCCACTTTGAATCATATTTTGTCTCTATGTATTCTTTATGTATATATAATATTTGTGAAAATTATTTTAAATAAAATAATAAAGGCCTAACTCAGGAAGAATTTCAAAATTAGCCATTCTCTCTAATTTGGTCTCTATGGAACCAGTCTCTAATATCCAAACCAGGAGAGAAAGAGATATGTCTCCTTCTCAATAATATCTATCAATTTATGCAGAATTATCTCATAAAATATGACAGGGGCAAGAAAATCATTAGATGTTTGGATTTTAAATAATTTTCACATGTTTTAAAATTTTATTGAAACATAAGAAATAGAAAAATAGGTATTGGTGAGGTAAATAGAATCACATAAAAGTATTAGTAGAAATAAAGCTTACAAACTTATGTTACATACTGTCTTAAGGACAAACTAGTAGAAGAATAAAAGAGTCATATGAAGTTATAATTCAGAAAGTTCATAAGTGAGAATTGCTTTACTTTCAACCTCATTCTAATTTACTTAACTACTTTTTAAACTACTATGATATTCATTTGTAAAGATTACTCCTAGAGATAAGGATTTAATTAATTAATTAATCTTTAAATTTTGTATGAGAGAGCAAGAGAATAAGCACAAGGTGGGGGGGAAGGGCAGATGGAGAGAAAAAGAGACAGAATCATAAGTAGGCTTCTTGCTTAGCATGGAGCTCTCCATGGGGCTTAATCCCATAACCCCTACTCTGACCTGAGCCAAAAATCAAGACTAGGACATTCAACTCACTTAACCACCTAGATGCCCTTATAGATAAGGATTTATGTGAAAGTTTTATATTCCTGAAACTTGTTTGTTAAGCTGAACGATGTCAACAGCACCTTTTTCATATAATAATGCAATATCATCATAGACTTTCTCTCTCAGCATTTAAAAATACTAGTTTCAGAATGAGATACATATATAAAAATAGCAAATTGTTCTAAGACAAAGATCTTGAAGATAATAAAAATAATTGTAGTAGAATTAGAGATTGTCCTTGAAATGGGATGTGATTATAATTTAAAGGGGGGGATGATTTTTTTAGTGATGCAATTTAAAGGGGGAATATTTTCTTATAGTTATGTCTTGACATTTGCTGATGTTTCCAAGTGAATTTTGGTTTCCTTTCTTTTCACAATCACAAAGACTTTGTATATTTAGATTATTAGACAATGTGTTGAGGTATTCTACTTTCTTTTGAATTACATATTTAACAAATATTCATTTAAATATATTATTTTGGGGGCACCTGGGTGGCTCAGAGGGTTAAAGCCTCTGCCTTCGGCTCAGGTTATGATCCCAGGGTCCTGGGATCGAGCCCCGCATCGGGCTCTTTCCTTGGTAGGGAGCCTGCTTCCTCCTCTCTCTCTCTGCCTGCCTCTCTGCCTACTTGTGATCTCTCTCTGTCGAATAAATTTAAAAAAAAATTAAAAAATTAAATATATTATTTTGGACATTACTATACTATGTCTTAAAAATCGAGAACTCAATTCGTTCTGTATCTTGTTCTTGGCTATAATTTTGCTGCTGTTGTCAGTGATGGTGCTGGTGTTTCTTATGGTGACTATGGTTTCCTTTATTAGTTTTTAATTTTTCAGTTGGCTTTTTGGTAAGCTTGTAGGCTGTCTGAACAGCATGCTAGGACTCTCATGATTCAACATTTTAGAAGCCGTGCTTCTGTTTAGGCACAGAGAGGAGTGGTAATCCTCAGAAAAGAAGCAGATAAAAAGATAGCTAAAAAAACTTCATGTATTTCATGAGATCAGTTTTGATTTTTTAAATTTTTTTTTCCAAAAGGATATTGTATCATCCTTTTTAAAAAAATGATGGGGAAATACCTTGATATACCCACTATTTGAAACACACATATAGCTCGATTTTAAACATCTCAGGATAATCTTATAATCCAATGATAAGCAACCATAGGCTTTCAGTTGCCTAACACAAAAGAAAACATGACTCATTCACTTTATTTAAAAGAATATTTAATGAGTGTCTATTTCATTCTAAGTATTGTATCAGAACTCAAAGCCTTTTTTTTTTTAATGTTCATTACTTACTAGATGCCAGTGTATTTATTTGTTAAGTCATGTCTACGAGCTATCTTATTTATCACCCCCCAAGTAACTTACAGGTATACCTTATTATTATCTACATCTTAAAAAATGAGAACAAAGTTTTCACAGGTTAAATATCTTGCCATTGTTTCTTTAATGGGTGGGTGTTGGATTGGAGATCGGAAACCAGGCAGTCTGATTCCAGAGGCTGCCATCTTAACCTCAATCCACATTGCTTCCCTATGTTTTAGTCCAGTGGTGACAGAGACCAAGAAACCCCATGAGACACAAATTCTACTGGAATTAAGAGTATAGTACATTGAAGGAGGAGTAGGACCACAGTTGAATTGGCATAAAGTAACCCAAAATCTGTTAATATAAGGTTTAATATAAATCAGTTTATTTCCCACATCTTTCTGCTTCTAGAATTTTTAGAAAGAAGAGTTACTAGCCAAAATGTAATATTTTGGGAAGACTAATTTTAGTCTGGATGATACGTAATAAAATACATCACCAGTCATCTTAGATATACAAAAAAGTCTAACAAATTTAATTCAATAAGTGTTTTTGACTATCCATTAGGACAAAATAATAATGCAGTAGACACAGGGAAACATAGATGGATTGTATCTACCTTACAGGGGCTCAGCATCTCCTATGAAAGACAGATACATAAATGAATACTTTTAATGCGAGCCAGACCGATCAGTCTTGCACCAGGGGTACAAAGGATTTTGGCAATGTAGGGGAAGGAGAGATTAATTTTGAGTATTTCCAAATTCATAATGGAATTTGTTCATTAATGATGAAAAGCCTTTGAATGAGAGATTTTGATCATCTTTGTTAGCATTAGAAACTTTTGGAGTAAGGAAAAGAGGCTAACTACCTTATATAGCTTACTCATTACAGAAGATGAAGTTTATAATTTGTTTATTGAATCTCAAAATGTGTAGAAGTCCCATTAGAGTTTTGTGTTCTGAGCTCGTTCCACAGGGAGGTTTTGTAAAGATTTCATAGCCAGGTCATTTTCTCACTTTAGTAATGAAATATTCTGAACCATTTATTCCACTCTAGATGGATAACTGGGACAGTTAAAGTTTGGTTAAGTAAATGCTGAAGATCTGACAATACCCATTTGATAGGAAAATATACTGATGAAGACACTTTGTCAAAAAATTCACCCATCAATTTCAGAACTATAATTGAAACCAACGTTGTCTTTGTACAGAACCAGAATTCTAACCATAGCATTACACTTTTCTTGTATATATATGAAAACTTTCACACAGTGCACTTTTCCTGAAATGAGAAAAAGAGTGGAAAATATATTTTGACCATTTATTCAGTTATTCAACTATTATTGAGTCTGTAGTATATAGTATGTACCAAATCCTGTGTTGCACACTAAAAAAAAACAAAGATGAATATTATCCCTGCTAAATTAGTTGGTTCATAGTTCAAAAATCTGTGTGTATTGGGGAATGGGAGGTAAATACTTTGGTGTTTGCTCTTAAGGAAGCATAGATTTTTTTTTCTTTTCTTTAAGATTTTATTTATTTATTCGACAGAGAGAGAGAGAGAGAGAGAGAGCGAGTACAAGCAGGCAGAATGGCAGGCA